CTCCCCACCCCTCCCTCCAGGTGTAGCTGTGCTGATCTGGGGGAGGCCGTGATCCAGGCATGGAGCGGATGCTGCGGGAGGCCCCCATCCGCAGGAGCAGATGCGGGGAGAGGTCCCCTGTCCTCAGGAGCAGGCAGGCAGATGTACAGACGCACATCAGCCCACGCCACCACCCAGCACTGCCCAGCCCCGCCCACACGGACGGGCAGCACCCAGGCAGACCCTCCATCACTCCCTGCCCCCTGCTCGGGCCCTGCCCCGTCTCTTCTGCCACGGGGATCGCGTGCAACCTTTTCATTTCAATGGTGAACACCCAGAGAGCTACCCACACGACACCTCCAACCCACTCTGGGATCCCTGCCTGGAGAATCCAGTGCACAGAGGAGCCTGGCAGGCTACTGTCCACGGGCTTGCGAAGAGGCAGACATGACTGAGGTGACCGAGCACGCGCCCCACTCGGCACTGGTTTTCCATCCAGTGTAAGAAACTGCCGCCAACTCAGAAGCTCAAAGGCACACGCCTGTCTGTCCCACCGTCTGTGGACCAGGAGCGCAGGGGCGGGGCGGCTCAGGGCTTCACGTGGCTGCAGACGAGGCGTCACCAGGGCCGGCTTCCCAGCAGAGGCTGGACCGCGGAGACACCCGATTGGCTGCCAAGCTCCTCGCCTTCCCTGCAGCGGCTCCTTCTAAGTCGGCAACAGACAAGACTCTGACGGACGGACCCACTGGACGGAGCGCATATAAAGCCCCAGAGTCCCAGAACGACACCCCCTTAAGTCAGAGCCTCTTCTCGGGGAGTGGGAGGAGCCTATAACTGCAATTACTGAGCCAAGGGACTCCCCCGCCCCAGACGCCCCCGTCTGTGGGCTAAGGCCAAGGAGTTCCCAAACTTGTCCCAAGCTAACATCCCCACCACCGGTTCTGGGAACTTCACATCTGCGCCACCACATAGTACATTTTGCGTACACTGCATTTATACTCCGTTGCTGGGTATGAAACAGTCTCTCACTGTGGAGAGAGCTTTCTGGAACCTGCAACTGATCAAGTCCCTCCCCGACTCTGATTCAAACCTTCCCCAGGGCTCCCCGGCCCATAACACACTCACACCCTCGGGCCGGGCACCTGCGGCCCAGGTCTCTGCAGCCTCCGTACCCTCAGGCCTGGCAACTCCTTGATGTTTTGAGGTTCTGACTTTATTAATTAGGAAGTAAATAACCAAACAGGTCACCTGTATGCTTTTAAACGTCCATATGAATGAAACGGATGCCTCTGGTCCATCAGTTCAGTTCAGTCGCTCAGTCGTGTCCAACTCTTCATGACTCTATGGACTGCAGCACGCCAGGCCTCCCTGTCCATAGCTAACTCCCAGAGCTTACTCAAATGCCTGTCCATTGAGTCAGTGATGCCATCCAACCATCTCATCCTCTGTCGTCCCCTTCTCCTCCTGCCCCCAATCTTTCCCAGCATCAGGGTCTTTTCCACCAAGTCAGTTTTTCGCATCGGGTGGCCAAAGTATTGCAGCTGTAGCTTCAGCATCAGTCCTTCCAATGAACACCCAGGACTGATTTCCTTTAGGATTGACAGGTTGGATCTCCTTGCAGTCCAAGAGATTCCCAAGAGTCTTCTCCAACACCATAGTTCAAAAGCATCAATTCTTCTGCGCTCAGCTTTCCTTATAGTCCAACTCTCACATCCATACATGACTACTGGAAAAACGACAGCTTTGACTATAGGGACCTTTGTTGGCAAAGTAATGTCTCTGCTTTTTAATATGCTGTCTAGGTTGGTCATAGCTTTTCTTCCAAGGAGCAAGAGTCTTAATTTCATGGCTGCAGTCACCATCTGCGGTGATTTTGGAGCCCAGGAAAATAAAGTCTGTCACTGTTTCCACTGTTTCCCCATCTATTTGCCATGAAGTGATGGGACCAGATGCCATGATCTTAGTTTTCTGAATGTTGAGCTTTAAGCCAACTTTTTCACTCTCCTCTTTCACTTTCATCAATAGGCTCTTCAGTTCTTCTTCACTTTCTGCCATACGGGTGGTGTCATCTGCATATCTGAGGTTATTGATATTTCTCCTGGCAATCTTGATTCCAGTGTGTGTTTCATCCAGCCTGGCATTTCTCATGATGTACTCTGCATATAAGTTAAATAAGCAGGGTGACAATATACAAGCTTGATGTACTTCTTTCCCAATTTGGAATCAGTCCATCATTTCATGTCCAGTTCTAACTGTTGCTTCCTGACCTGCATACAGATTTCTCAGGAGGCAGGTCAGGTGGTCTGATATTCCCATCTCTTTCAGAATTTTCCACAGTTTGTTGTGATCCACACAGTCAAAGGGTTGGCCCCCCTTCAAAGCTGGTCGTGTCTTTGTCTTCCCCAGAGCCTGAGGCATGCTGTGTAGGGTGAAGGAGAGGGAGGTGACTCGGCTGAATCAACTCCTTAGGGGACATCGTGCCTGATCCCCAGGCACAGCAGTGCTTCCGGCCTCGTGGGGGGGCTTGTGTGTGCTTATGTACACGTGTGTGTTCCCATGCACACGTGTGCACTGGCGCCTGGGGCCTGCCTGAGCATGCGTGTGCAGGGTGTGTGCCCTGTTGGCTGCCCTGTCAGGAGGAGAAGCTGTCTTTCTGTTTTTTCTTCATAGCACCTCTCACTACCCGACACATGAAACCTTCACTCGCTACCAGTTTCTCACATCTTCCACACTAGAGTCACCTCCACAAAGACAAGACTCCATCGAGTGCATTCACTGGCATATACACCTACAGCACCCAGAGACACCTACACCGCACAGGTGTGATGGGAGCTCAAGAAATGTGTGAGAAGGATGGTGGATGGGTGGGTGAGTAGGTACATAAATGAATGGGAGGATGGATGGGTAGATAGGTGGATAAGTGGGTGGATGAGTGAATAGGTAGATGGATAAGTAGATGGATGGGTGGGTAGGTGGATGGATAGGTGGGTAGGTGGGTGGATGGATGGATAGATGGGTGAGTGGGCAGCTGGACAGATGGGTGGATGAATGAATGGGAGGATGGGGGAGTAGATGGATGGATGGGCAGATGCGTGGATGGATTTGTGGGTGGGAGGATGGGTAGGCAGATTGGATGGATGGGAGGATGGATAACTGGGTAGGTGATGGATAGATGGAGGGATGGACTGATTGACAGATGGATGGGTAGGTGGGTGGGCAGGTGAGAGAGTAGATGGATGGATGATGGATGGGAGGATGAATACATTGGTGGGTGATGGATAGATGGAGGGATGGACTGATTGACAGATGGATGGGTAGGTGGGTGGGCAGGTGAGAGAGTAGATGGATGGATGATGGATGGGAGGATGAATACATTGGTGGGTGATGGATAGATGGAGGGATGAGTGGGAGGATGGATGGATAAGTGGGTGGGTGGGAGGATGGGGGAATAGGAGGATGGATGGTGGGTGGGTGGGTGGATGCAGAGGAGGATGAGTAGATGAGTGGGTGGGTGGGTGGGTGGATGGTGTGAATGTGGGCATGTGCATGCAGGCTTCAGGCTTCTTTGTTCTTTGCTTTTCCCAAAAAGACCTAGGAAATCACACAACTTGGAAGGTGCAGAGACCCATGGGTACTGGGGGAGCTTCTGGGGGTCGGATTCTCCTGGATGCCTGGAGCCAGCTGTGGGAACTGGGGTCAGAGCCCCTCCCAGGGCTGCTGCAGGGGGGGTGGGGAGGGGAGGGCGGCTGCCCTGGAGGCTGGCACATGTTGGAACTTGGGGGGTGGTCCCACATGTGACACCTTCTCTCAGGCTGTAACCACCCACTGGAGGCTGGAGCTGAGCCTGGAGACCACGCGGCCCACCCCAGGGTGTAACCTGGGTGGGGATGAGGGTGAGGACGCAGAGACACGGTGGGCACGTGTCAGTGGCAGGACGCTCCCCTGGAGGTCCAGGGGAAGGCTGGCAGGTCCGAGCCTCAAATGTGCGAAGGCCGTCCTGGGGTGTCTGGGGGGACAGGCCGCCTGCCCTCGCCTGCTCGGTGGCCCCGCTCCCAGCCCACCAGCCTGTACATCCCTCCACCACTTGCCCAGTATTCCTCGGACCGCCCGTCCACCCCCTGCCTTCACCCATCTGTCCTGTCCTTCCATCCATCCACCCTGACCTTGCCCGTCACCCACACTTCCGTCGTTAACCTACGGTGGCCGGCTCCTCCGCCGTCCGAAGCCATCCTCGCAGCAACCCGATGGGGAAGATGCTGTTTCTGCCCCGTTTGACGGAGGAGACCGAGGCGGAGAGGTGCAGTGACCGCCCTGAGAACGCGCAGCGAGCAGATGGCAGCACCGTCTGAGCTGACGGGCCAAGCGCTCAGCTTCCCCGTCCGTCCGTGCGTCCACTCCTGCCGCTGTCCGTCACTCGGTCCCTGCACTCACCGGTCCGCGCCCACCCAGCGGCCCATCCGACGCTGTGACCCATCCATCCTGGAGGTAATGCACTTAGCGCCCCGGGGCCCGGAGGGGAGACAAGGCCTGAGCTGCCCATCTGGCTGGGCGGGGAGGCGGGGGGGCCGCCCCAGGCCGGGCGGGGCTGCACGGGGCTGGGGGGAGTTAACCGAGTGACTGCCAGGATCATCTAATTAGGGACGCTAGTGATAAGCAGATAGGATCGGGGGTGATTAGAATCCTTTTAAAAAGCCACTCCATTAATTACGGAGACAGAGAGGGGCCTCTGGCCGCTGAGAATACCAACTGGCTGCCTGGTCGCCCCCCCGCAGCGCGCCCTGGGGCCGCTGTGTGACCTTGGGTGCGCCCGGCCCTCTCTGGGTGTCTCCCGGGCAGGGGGTTGGACTCTGCCGGCCAGCGCCTGGTCACCCCAGGGCCTCTTTCTCTGGGCTGGGGCATAGGGTGGGCCTGAGACCAGGGAGGCCAGGGGCTCCCCAGAGCAGGAAGCCCTGCACAGAGAAGCCTCGCCACCCACGGGTGGTCGAGGCAGACAGCAGGGTGGTGGATGGCTGGCCAGCGTCGGCTCAGCCCGGAGCCTCAGCGGGTCTGCGGAGGGGCCCGGGCCCGCCGCTCCTGTCGTCTCTGCAGACATTTCCGGCTCCTGTGCCTCAGAGGATGCCAGTCCAAGCTGGCAGAAGTGGAGCCCCCTGCAGAGAAGGAAGTGGACCCCTCTGCATGCGGCCTTCCTCACGGGCGCTCCCCCTGGTCCCTGGCCGCCCTCCATCCTTGGGCCTGCGGCTGCAGGGAGCCTGGCCTCTCCGGCCCCGTGCCTCCTGCGGTGTGCTCTGCTCCCCATGGCCTCCGCCCGTCCCCCAGCTCTGGGGGCCTCAGGCCAGCCCAGAACCAGGGGGAGAGCAGGGCAGGGAGCCCGCTGAGGGGCTCGGGCAGCATCAGTGGTCAGATGAGGTTCCTCCGCGGGAGGCCAGTGGAGGCTGAGGGAGCCCCAGGCAGGGCGGGGAGAGGCGGGATGCCCCGGGGTTTCACCACCCTGGGTCCAACGTCCGACCTCGCTGTGACCGCCCCACACTGTGCTGACCGTGCTGTTACGGGGCCGAGGCTCCCACCAAGTTCACACCCCTGTTATCATCGTCAGGGCGACAGGCCAGCACGCGCGCCTGCTCCTCCCTCCACACCCGCACGACGGACACCACCCCCGCACGGGGGTCGTCACCCCACACCCCACCAGTGCCGCCGCCGCCGCCTCTGACGTCGCCCCAAGCATCATCAGCATCATTACTGCGGGCACTGTGCCCGTCGACACCAGCATCCCGGCCTCAGCAAGCAGCAGTCACCGCGGCCACCGTTCCTGCTCCGTGACCATGCCCTTCTCACCACCCCACCTGCGTCGCCCCCGTTTCTATGGCCACCACCCCCTTCACCTGAGCCACTCCATGGGGTAGGCGGTTACTGACCATGTAACAGGCATGAAGACGTGGCACCCGAGTTCACAGCCACCGGCCGACCTGGGGCAGAGAGACCAGAGAAGCAAGTCTCTGATGATCATGGTCTGCGGCTCCAAAGCAGCAGCTCTCGAGGGTCACTGGCAGCTGCTCAAGCCCCGGGACAATCTGGCGAGCGTGCCCTGAGCACCTCAGCCCACTGCCCTGAGGTACGGCCTCCGGGAGGGTCACCCAAAGCTGCTGCAAACCTCCGGGCTGCCCTCTGCCTGCTCCTGCCTCTTTCTCCCCCACACCTCGGGCCCCTGCAGATTCCAGCTGTAAGAGGCTCTCCAGGGTGCGATGGAGGCCACGGAGGAGCGCGGCGGTCCCTGCGTGAGTGCGGCCGGTGGGATTGCGGTCTGCAAGGGCTGTCACCGTCGCCCTTGGTGCTCCTGCTCAGCGCCGCTCCCCCCCGCGTGCCCCCATCCCCGCCAGCACCCCGACTATTCCTGCCACAGGTCGCCATCACCATCACCACCCCCAGCAGGAGCGAGGCCGGCCTCCCCGCCACGAGCCCGGCCATCTCATCCACCGCGGCGCACCGCCCTCCGCCCTCCGCCCGGAACGCGCCTCTCAGGGTGCTGTTGGAGACACGCTGCCCTTTCTGAACGACGGCCACTCCCCACTCGGCTGGAAACGGCCCTGCCTGCGTGCCGTGGGCAAGAGTGACATTTGTGACATCCCAGCAGGGGCTGTGGGAGGGCCCCCAGTGTCTGCCAGCTCTCGGAGTCGCCTCCCCCCACCCCGAGACCCCTCGGTCTGGGCTCCAGGACGAGACCGTGTGTCTTGCAGCCGCAGCAGCTGTCCCGGGGGTGCTGACGAGTAAAGCGGGTTTCCGCCACCAGGAGCCTCCTGTGGGCACGTTCGCGCAGCCCCCGCAGACAAGCCTGCCGAGAACAGGCTCCCACTGCGGCCACAGACCCCGAGCGTCCCACCTACGGAACTGCCTGCACCCGCGTCCGGGCGTGTGGGTGGGTGGGCTGGGGACGCGCGGTGAGCCGTCCTCTGGGCAAGGGGTGTGAGGAGACAGTGCTTGTCACTCCGGGGTCCCACGTCTGCTTTCGGTCCCCGCCAGCATTTGGGGTTGGTTAGAACATGCTGTCCCCGTGAGGTGCTTGGAGCCCAGCACCCGTGAGCATCAAGGGAAAAGGAGCCATGGGGTGGGGGCAGGAAGGGGTGCAGAGCAGCAACGGGCGCGGGGAGACGCTGCCCACTAGCTCTCGGCAGGGCCGCTGCCTCCCTGGCGGGGGGTGCCTCCGTCTCACCTGGAGGGGGCGAGGGGCACGGGAACCCGGGTGTGAACATGCTTGTTAATGCTGCTTCTGGACGCACCCAGCGTCAGAACAAGAACAAAAACCAGAGGAACGCCCCCGGGTTCCTTACTCCCCGCAAAGCGCCGCAGACAGCACTGGGCCGGAGGCCGCCCTCCCTCAGAGTGGGCGGGGGCTGCTGCCAGCCCCGGGGCAGGCCCTGCTGTGTTCTCTGCGCCCCCCCAATCCCGCTTTGCTCTCAGTGCATCTGTCTTTCCCAGGGACTCCTGTCATGGATTTTGGACCTGCCCAGGTAATGCAGGGTGATCTCTAATTGTATACGGAGCGACCCTTTTCCCCAACAGTAATAGGAGCACGTTCACAGGTTCTGCAGTTGGCATAGGGGCCACTGTTCAACCCACCGTGCTCACTGACCTACACTTCTTACCAGCCCTGCCTTTCCCACCGGCCCTGAGCGGAATGTCCGTCCAGGGTGCTGCCCACCACGGCTCAGCACCTCCCTCTCTCACCCACCTGCTGTGTGACCTTGAGTCTGATGCCACAAATCTCTGGGCCTCATTCATTCAAGGAACGTGTATTGTCAGCCAAGTGCGGTCCTAGACGCTGACACACCCCTACCTCTGCGAGGCTCATCTCAGGATCTGCGGGGACCACGGGGCGCCAGCAGAAGGAACTCCGCCCCGGACACCACCCAAGCCGATCCCCCACCTTGGCGCCTCACTCGCCGACCACCCAGCCTCTGGGCTCGGTCTGCTCACCCCAGGGATCCTCCCTCCCCTCCCTGACCCCCAGCGCGGACCCCCAGGGCCCACCTCCGGAGGCTGGTCCTGTCTCAGCCCCGCGGCTCCAAGAGCCTGAGCTCCGAGTGTGGACCCCCAGGCGTGGCCTCCTGCGCAGGGCCGGCCGTGTACCAGGCCCCAGACTCCACGGGCTGGGCTCTGCCCCGCCCAGGCCCGATGTCACAAAGGGCCGGGCGGCTCTGCAGGGGGCCTTGTGGACGAGGGGGGCCCCCCCAACGGCACTGCCCTCCCCTCCCCCCGCCCCTCTAGCGGAGGCGTCCACCCGTCCCCGGCGCTGGTACTATGAAAGGGTAGTCGGCCGGGCAGAGCCGCCCAGGAGCCCCAGAGTCCAGCCAGGCCCCCGCCGAGCGACCCGCACTGCCACTGGCGCCCCCAGCCACCGGCCACCCGGGCCCCGGGCCCGCGTCTCCCCGCCCCCGCACCCCGGCCTTCGGCATGGCTAACTACTACGAAGTGCTGGGGGTGCAGGCCAGCGCCTCCCCGGAGGACATCAAGAAGGCCTACCGCAAGCTGGCCCTGCGCTGGCACCCCGACAAGAACCCCGACAACAAGGAGGAGGCCGAGAAGAAGTTCAAGCAGGTGTCCGAGGCCTACGAGGTTCTGTCCGACTCCAAGAAGCGCTCGTTGTATGACCACGCGGGCTGCGACGGCTGGCGGCCGGGCGGGGCCGGCTGCCCGCGCGGCGGCCCCTTCGGCGGCGGCGGCTACACCTTCCGCAATCCGGAGGACATCTTCCGCGAGTTCTTCGGCGGCCTGGACCCGTTCTCCTTCGACTTCTGGGACGCGCCCTTCGGCAGCGAGCGCGGGGCCCGGGGCCACCGGCTTGGCGGGGCCTTCTCTGCCGGCTTCGGCGAGTTCCCCGCCTTCATGGAGGCCTTCTCGGCCTTTGACAGCCTGGGCCGCGGGGGCGCCGGCCGGACCACCTTCTCGTCCACGTCCTTCGGCGGCTCCGGCTCGGGCGGCTCCGGCTTCAAATCGGTGATGTCGTTCACCGAGATTGTCAACGGCCACAAGGTCACCACCAAGCGCATCGTGGAGAACAGGCAGGAGCGCGTGGAGGTGGAGGAGGACGGGCAGCTCAAGTCGGTGACCATCAACGGCAAGACGCAGCTCAAACGGGTGGACAGCAAGTAGGCGCCGCCCGCGCCCGCCGCCCGGCGGGGCTCAATAAACATGCCAAGTGAGCCTGCGGGCGCGGTGGAGAGGCCTGGGGACGTTTCAGGCGTCCGGCGCAGGCTGACCTCGCCAGGGCGCCACGCGGGCGCCCGGCTGGCACCTCCTGCGTCTGCGTGCGTGCGGGTCCGTATCCGTGCGCGTCCGTGCCTGTGCGTGCGCGCGAGTCCGTGCGCGCCTGTCCGTGTCCGTGCCCGTGCGTGCCTGTGCGTGCGTGCCCGCGTCCGTGCGCATGTGTCGTCGGCGTCGTGGGGGTCGTGAGGGTCGCTACGGCCGCCCGCCTACCCAGTCCACGGCTTGGGGCTGCTAACACCAAGGGCGTCCGCCGCCGGCCCGCGGGGCGCTGCCCGGCTTCAGCATGAAGATGTCAGGCCTCGCCCTCCCCACGAGATCCCAGCAGCCCGGCCGCTGTCCCCCCTTCCCCGCCACAGGGCAGCACCCCAAGATCCCTAGGGGCCCGTGAGTCCCCTCGGGTGCTCCAGGGCCCTGGGTAGGGGCACACAGCAGGTGACCTGCTGTCCCTCCAGGCTCAGGCCTCCTGGGTCCGGCCCCGCGGAGCCCCGGGGACGGCCCGGCAGCTGGAGGCCCCCTAACCGCGTTAGCCGAGGGGCAGCAGAGCCCCGTGGCACACAGAGGGTCGCGCCGCGGCTCCCAGCCCCGCCGCCGGACTGACTTCATCCAAGCCCCCGCGACAGCATCAACCACCTGACCTCTGCCCCCGCGGACCTGCTAAGTTTACCAATTACCGCCGAGCGCGGTTGCGTCAAGTGGGCCTGCTTAGCCCCGACAGCTGCCCGGCAAATCCAATTACCGGCCAGCAGCCCACCGGCGGGCGCAGGGTCCCAGGGCTGGGTGGTCGCGAGGCACGGGCGTTCACAGACACCCCAAGGACCTCACCTTGGTGTCTCCCCCCGACTCACAGGCCGGTCGTAGCAGTCCCCTGTTCCAGTACCTCTGAGTGCGTGGAGCCTGGCTACACATCCTCAGCCCCTCTCTGCATCCTTGTCTCTGCCCTTAGCCCCATCTGACAGACGGCGGAGCTGAAGGCCTGCGGAAGTGGGGCAGAGAGGGGCCTGGGAGGAGTGTTATGGGCACGGCACAGCCCGTGCAAAGGTCCTGAGGCAGGAGATGGTGAGGCCCCCGTTCAGAATGCAGCCCCCACACTCAGCGCCTGCACGGGCCCCCGTCTGCTCGTGGCTCACGCTCACTGCCTCCCCTGGGGCCACGTGTGCTCGTGGCTCACCCAGACAGTGCCCCAGCCTCCTCCCTTCATCCCACTCTCATCCCCGCAGCCCAAAGGGTCTTGTGAAAACCTGAGAGGTTCGTGAGACACTCAAAGGAAAAGTCAAGCCCTCGGGGTGTCCACTGAGGCCCCCACGACCTCCGTGGCCCCCCGGTACACTCTGTGCTCCAGCCCCAGTGGTCTCCTCCAGCTGCACACTCGCCGGGGGGACTCCTGCCTCGAGACCTCGGCGCAGGCTGTGCCATGCTGGGAACCCTCCTCCTGGGGCCGCGTCTCCCCACCGCCCTGGTCCCCACTCACCCCACCATCCCCTCCCTGCAGACCCCTTTCCTGAAGTGGGACTTTTGCATAGACGGACCCGGTTCCTGAAACACCCCTCTCTACCCAGGCTTCTCCTGCCACCACACCCTTGGGGAGACCTCACACCCCCTCTTCCACACGCCGCTCCTGGGTCCCCCCGTCCCTCCAGGCCCCCGACTGTCCCCTAGTGCCGGATGGACATGACGGCATCCCAGCATTGCCCCTCGGGCACCAGGTTCAGTGATGCTGGAGCCTTTACGAGTGAGGGCAGCAAAGCCCTGGGGAGGCACGCACTGCAGCTCACAGGGCAGGTCTGCAGTCTCCGACCACGTGTAGTCTGAGGCCACCTGGGACCCTGATGGCCTGGGGTCTCCCCCAGGGCTCTGGTTTCTCCATGGATGGGAACGGGCCATGTTCTCAGCCCTACTGAGCACCCCCAGGGCTCCTCCTGTACCCTCTCTCCAAAGACTCTCACTGACCCCCAAAACAGGGATGGCCACTTGCCCCCATTTTACAGATGGGGAAACTGAGGCTCGGAGGCCAAGAGACGTGGACGAGGTCACCCATCCACACTGGAAGCCTGTCTACCCTCCTCCTGCTCCTCTCGCCCTGCGCCCAGGCCTGGGGTGGGGTGGGTGCGGACCGGGCAGCCTCCTGCCTGCCCCCCTCCTCTGGCCAGTCGATGTTATCGCAGCTGATTTAATTTCAAAGACGGATTGAGCTGTGGCGGGAGGGAGAGCAGCTAATCGCAGCCGCCATCTGCCCCGTTGTCATGGGGATGGGCTCCCAGCAATTGCGTAGGGGCTGGACCCAGATAAGGGCACTGCAGTGGGCGGGAGGGGGCTCCATGGGCAGGCAGGGGCGGGCAGGACGGGGGGGGGGAAGGGGGAACCCAGAGACCCTCGAGGGGCAGGGCCTTGGAGCTGGGGGAGAAGCTCGAGGGTGCCCAGGCAGGAGAGCCTGGGAGAGATGAGGTGGTATGGGGGGACTGATGCCCAGCGCGGCTCGGGGTAGGCCTGGTGGGCAACAGTGGTGACAGACCGCCCCGTCCAGGGCCCGGCTGATCCGAACTCCAGCCCTAGCGTGGCCCCCACTGCAGCCCTCTCTGCCACCCCCCCGGGAAGTGCCGGGGTGTGTTCAGACCTCTCCAGTCTGCCCCCTTTGCTACAAAAGGGCCACAGAGCCCAGGATCCCTCCCTGGCCAGGCAGGGGTCCAAGCTAGGTGCAGAGTAGCGGCCAGCGCCCTTGGTCTGGCCTCTAGGACAGTTGCATCATCATGACTCCTGACGTCAGGGATAGCCTCCTCCTGCGGCTGGGGGTGAGGGGCTGCTGAGCACCTACTGGGCGCCTGTCAGCTGCACCGCACCCCCGCCTCCCGACCGCCCTGCGCTCTCACAGCCCAGGAAGGAGCCCCATGGCAGCTTCGTCAACAGATGCCGGCCCGCTTTCCCTGGGTCTGGGCCTTGGGCGGCGCGGGGACAAGCCGCGGGGCTCTGCTGCCTGCCCGCGCGCCATTCCGGCGGAGACCCGGCCTCAGTCGGACCTGCCCCCCACCCGCACAGTCAAGGCCCAGCCCGTCCCCTCCTCGGCTTCTGCCCCTCGGCAGGGACCCCTCCCTGGGAACCTGCTGTATTGGGGGAGCCCTGGCCCCCGCTCCCCGTGCGGACCTCCTGCAGGCCCTCCCGTGCTGGGCGCCTCTCCATCAGGACTCCAGGTCTGGATGCCCCCGGCGGCCACCAGGCAAGTCCTGAGGACCCTGGGGGGCACCGTGGGGCCTGGGAGCCCGAGCGCCTGCCTGGGGCAGCCCTGCCCGCCAACCACACCACGCTGTCACCCCCCTCAAAGCAGGAACCTGCACCACCAGCCACTTGGGCCCCCAGGCGCCGTGGTTATGCCTGCGGTCACCCGAGCCGCCGGTCAGGAAACCCCTGGGGTCGTGGGGTTCCGGGGTGGCAGCAGGGATATGTACCAGCTACTTTCCGCTGCAGACGCTGGGCCGCCCCGGGCCACCCCAGACCTGCAACACGCCTGCCGCCCCTCCCCGCCGGCATGCCTCTGGCCCAGCCGCGCCCACGCCAAGCGTGTCCTTCCAGCCGTCCTCCTGCGGCCCCAGTTTCTCCTTCCTTGGGATCCCAGGAACCAGCCAGTCGCAGGTTGCTGGGTCTCTCCCCCTCAACGTTCAAGAGGCCAGCTCCTCTAAGGCAGGGCTGGTTCCTCCTCCATGTCCAGTGTACCCAGCGCGGTGGTGACTGCAGGGCCGAGCACATTTTCCCTGCGGCTGGAGGAGACAGGGTGGGTATCCCGGGGCCCCCGTGGCTCCAGGAGGGGAGGGGCGGGCCGCCTGGGCCCCTTCCCCGAGCTGCGAGATCCTCCGTGCCTGC